CACACAAATACATGAAACTACCATGTCTATGGTCCAATAATCCCACTTCTGGGTTTTTATTCAAAAGTTTTAAAATCAGAATCGTGGAGAGATTGGTTTCTCCTATGTTCACTGTAGCATTATTCACAGGAGCCCAAGTATGAAAACAATGTTGATGGATGGATGAATGGTTAAAGAAAATGTAGTACGGATACACACTGGAGTATTATTCAGCCTTTAACAAGAAGAAAATCTTGATATCTGCAACATGATTGAACCCAGAGGACATAAGTGAAATAGACCAATCATAGGATGACATATTGAATGATTATGAAACATAATAGCCAAACTTTGGAGAAGCCAAGAGAAGAATGGTGGTTTCCACAGGATAAGGGGAGGGGAACATGGAGAGTTGCTAATAAATAGGAATAAAGTTTAAGTAATAAAGGTGAATAAGTTCTAGAGATCTGTGCAACATTGTTAACCATATTATACACTTAGATTTTAGATGTTTTTATTGAAAACAAGTCTATCCGCAGATTTTTTAAATTAAAAAGATTCAGATCATTCAGTGGCCTCACAGACTGGTAGAGGTTGTCACAGCAGTTGAGTTGCTCCTAACTACGTCCTGGTTAAGTGGGGGTGTGCAAGCCATCAGTGCCGAGTTCTGGATCTTATTTACTCCTTGCCTGAGGTTTAAGTTTACAATGCTTTATATTTAACTGAAAGATCTAGAAGATAATTGATGACGGGTCCAGTGAATGGGTCACTCCCATCATTTGGGAACCATTAGAGATCTTTCAGCGCAGACTCACTCTCACCCTGTTCCCCTGGAAGACTCATTTCCCTAGTAGTTGATCATAACTGACACTCGCCACAGATGCTGCAAAGCCTGGTTTCAAGAGTGGTTCTCTCTAGGTGTTTCCTAGGCCTTTGTATTCTTGACTTTGAGCTGCATGGGTTCTAGCATCTGAAGGATTTGGAATGGCCACTCTGGCCCTGTATGTGCAAGTGAAGTCTCTCCTCCTGACATCCCTGGCACTGGTAACTCCAGAATTCTTATAAAAACCATCAGTGACACTAGGCCAAATTTTCATGGTACATTGTTCCTGGGGGCCAAGCCCAGAGCTGCCATTGGTTCTGCTGGGATTCTGCATCTACTCGCCCCCTCCTACACTTTCATTTTTTAAGGAAATATTTTGTCAAGGGTTGGAATTTTAGAAAGCTCCAGGTGAATTCTACTTGATGTTGCCTTGATAATTTCCCTAGATTTTTATTTTCCTTTTCAACTTTGATTGTTTCCCTCTTCTTTGATGCAGGGCAGTGAAAGCAGATTTTACTCTGTGCCTCCTTGGTAGGAATTGAGTGGAATGTTATTTGATCTTTAGGCCTCTGAGGTTAGACAAGGAATTAGAAATATCTGAACTCTACTCTAAACCCTGATCTTCTCATCCCCAATGTGTGCTTAATAAGAAGCAGAATCAATACTTCAGGTCAGAATAAGTTCAAATGGTCTAGAATTTTCATATCAGAAATAAAAGAAAAATCAATGGACTAGAAATGTTCTCAACTCTTCTCCAAAGGATGTTGCTTAAATTTCTGAAGTTGACAAATGTGACCAAATGCATAATTTCATTTTTAGTTACAACAGAAAGAAGGGGACTCCCGAGAAAATGTCTAAAGAGATTTTATAAAGATAGAGCTTTAGGTGAACTCTTATCAAATCTTGCCTCCAACTTCTCAAAAGATTGTTAAATTGCCTTCTTACATCCGAGAACTTATTATGAAATGCATCTGTCATGTAGATAGAAGAGTTTAGCCTAAATCCCTCTTACCTGAGAGCTGGAGCTGGAGGAAGCAGGGAGTGGGGGTAGATTGAGGAGGACACACACCTGTTCATAGGCTGCATGACTCAGGTACTGGTAGGGCTGGAGTGGGAGTGGCGAACCATCTGGTCTCGGCCCAGCTCACCTTGTTAGAATACCAGTGTGAAAACTGTGGAGTTGGGGCAATTTTTGATTTTTGCAATGACCAGGTTTTTCTATTGATGGGCAATGTTAAAGCCACATAATATGGTTAGCTATCTGGGTCTTCACATTGTTTCCTCTTTCTCTTACATGGAAGGACTGGGTTATGAGTACTTACAAGAGTAGAGAACTTGCATGCTTAGGGACTTAAAACCATGTGGCTCCATAGTTGCTGAAAGAATGCTGGACTTGGTGGAGCCTGGCTCACCTCATTCTGTGTAATGGAGGAATTTAGGGACATCCTGGGCCACTTCATCTAAGAATTTGTGTGGGGAAAGGGCATCCATTTCTTGGGTACCAGACAGAGGCTCATCTCTACATGCTTGATGCCAGTTATCCTCATCACAAATCTGCAAATAGTGTTCTCACTAGGTGAGCCAGAGAGGGGGCAGGGGATTTGTGACAGGCCACACCTGGTTCATACGTGGCACAACCATCATGATACAAAGGTCTAGGCAACACCAAAACTGGTGCTCTTTTGCTATTTTTTTTAACTAAAGCTTTATAGTTATAACTAAAACTTTTCCTTCCCATCCTCCCTCCCTTCTCTCTACTAGGCTTCTTGTCACTCATCTATTTTGTTTGATTGGTTTTATCTATGCATGAAGGTGGGGTTCCCTGTGGTACATTTATACATGCACATAACATGATTTTCTAAGAATTCATTCTGCTTTGCCTCCCCTTACTCATCCCTCCACTCTGCCTCTTGATCTATTTCTTCTACATTACTGATCTTTCCTGAGTTAATTTCATTATTTTGCTATTACAATAAACAATAAGGTGGCTGTATCACTGTGATATTCCAATTTTAGATCTCTGGGGGAAAATACCAATTAATGGGATAGCTGGGTCATTTAGTGTTCTATCCCTAGTTTTTAAAGGAATCTCCATATTGCTTTCCAGAGTGGTTGTACTGGTCTGTAGTCCCACCAGCAGTGTACAAGTGTTCCTCCCCCTGCCCCACAATCTCACTAGCATTTCTTTTCTGTTTGTGTTCTTGATCATTGCTGTTCTGACTACACTAAGATGAAATCTTGATTTGCATTTCTTATTGCTAGTGATGCTGAACCTTTTTGGTTGGCCATTTGTTTCTTTTGAGAAGTTTAGTTCCTATGCCTACTTATTGATCAGGGTATTTGTATTTTGGATAACAATCCCCTGTTACTAGGAGTAGCTGGCCAAGATTTTCTCCTTTTCTATAGATTCTCTCTTCCCATTTTTGCTTCCTTTGCTGTGAAGCTTTTTAGTTTGGCATCCCACTTATTGATTCTTGATTTATTTCTTGCACTTTGACAGTCTGAAGTCAGTGCCAGAGCCTATATGATGGAGTATACACCCTATGTTTTCTTCTAGCAGTTGTAAAGTTTCTGGTCTAATTCCTAAGTTTTTGATCCATTTTGAGTTTTGTTCTAGGTAAGAGATGGGGTTCTAGTTTCATCTTTGTATGGCTATCAAGTTTTCCCAGCACCATTTTTTAAAAAGACTATTTTCTCTAAAATATATTTTTGGTGCCCTTGTCAAATATGGGACAGCTATTAAGTATGTGAATTTGTCTCTGTCTTCTATTCTGTTCTATTGATCTTTGTGTCTTTTTTGATGCCAATACCATGCTGTTTTTGTAACTATATCTCTGGAGTATAATTTCAAATCATGTATTGTGATGCCTCTTGTATTCTTCCAAATTTAAGAATTGTTTTTCCTAATTGTGAATAATGTCTATGGGGATTGCATTGAAACAGTACATTGCTCTTGGTATTATGGCCATTTTCACAATATTCTGCCTGTACCAGAACAGGGGAGGTCTTCCCATTTTCTAAGCTTGTCTTCAATTTCTTTCTTCAGAATTCTATAATGTTCATTGTAGAGATCTTTTACCTCTTTGGTTAGATAAATGAAAACTCGTGCTCTTTTGATGGTCCGTTCTTAGAGTATACATATAAAAAAAACTAAAGAACCAGAGATGCAGATGTGTATAGCCTGCAGCTAAGAGGAGTAGGCGAGACTAAGGAGCAGAACTGGCTGCAAGTTGGGAGAGAGTTATATAAAAGGCCAGACAGTGTGCTCTAACTGGAGTTGAGAAGTCCCCGAGTAAAATCCAGGATGGAGCATGATGAAGAGCTGGACAATCTGGGTTTCTGCAGGGTGCACCAATTAGATATGAGACTAAAATATCCCTTGGAAAATGGAAAAGTATACAGTGCCAGTTGGTGCAGGTTTCTCCCATTAAAGCCAAAGTAGCAAAGTATAAGTCAGTTATTCTCTGCAACTGTACATCACTATTAGGTTATTTAACAACAATAACAACAACAACAACAACAACAAAAAAAACCTTATTCTAGAGGTCGAGTCTGTTCCTGTTGTGTCTTGTGACTGCACATGTAGGCTGTCTAGTGGAGCTACAGGTTCCACCCCCAACCCTGGGCTACAGCTGAGGGTAGCCTGAGAGCAGAGCAGCTGTCAGCCAGGACTCTGAAATCAAGCAATACACCTGCTGAACTAGGTGCCCAGAAAGACTTACGAAGCCGCGGTTCCTGCTCTGCTGGATCTCATGGCACTCATCTCTCTTGTGCTCTTCGCAGCACCCTCTTTAGGAAAAGCAGCTCAGAAATGATCAGGATGTGGTCCCTACTGGCCTTCAGGAGGGTCTGTGACACCTGGAGCAGAGAACAACTATGGGAGGGCAGGGACAGATGAAGGCCAAAGAAATGCAAATGCTCACAGCAAGGGTGACTTAGATCTCATATGATTACAACTTTTACTCAGATTTCCTTATGCTCTCAGTTGTCCTTTATGTACCTGTTGTATTGGAAGAATGAACGTTTTTTTTCAGCCTCTGCTTGGCTTCGGGAGGCACAGGGTTGGGAAGATCTTGCTGTGAAAAGATGGAATAAACAGCCTTAAAGCCACATTAGGGCGAACCTGGCATGCTAAGTTACGGCCCAAGTCATAGGCTGTCAAATCTGACCTTGCCCTGGGTATGCTCTGCTTTTTCAGGTGGCGCTCAAGCATGAGGATGGTGAAGAGATAGCAGAGCCACCCCCCAGTGGGCTCCGGGACCGCAGGAGGGCCAGCGTGTGTTCTGGTGGCAGTGGGGGTGAGCAGCAGAGCATTGACCGCAGGAGGAGCCGCAGGCACTCGGTTCAGACCCTCAAGAGTCCGCTGTCGGCTCCTACCAGTCCCTGCTCCCTGTCAGCTGCTGCCTTCAAGCCGAACCAAATACGAGACCTCTGTGAAAAGTAAGTTAAACCCAGTGTTGGGAGAGGTGAAGGGTAGCCCCCCAAAGAGGGAGGGAGGCGATGAGCTATAGATGCCCACGGCCATTGGCTCTCCACCAGCCAGAAGAGCCCCTGGCCGTCCCCCTGCCTTTTCTCTACCATGAAACCACCAATACCAGGAAACACCCCCAGCAAGGCACACCCTGGTGTGCAGAGACTTGGTGACCTTGTCTTCAGCCACCTGTGTTTTTATATTCTTTAATATCTCCATATCATTCATATCCATTCAGAAAAGCTTTTAGAAAATGGAAAAGAATCCAAAACACACAACTTTTGTCTATAAATACGGTAGGCTACCACAGTAGTATAAAATGATACTCTTGAGAAACCTGTAGCAAATCACAAAATTGGTTTTAGTTAAGTATAATAAATCCGTGTAAGTTTAGAAACATGTATTTCTTTATATTTCAGTAAATTCTTTCATTTAGTTCAGTGAAACATGTTTATTGAGTGTCCACTGTGGGTCAGGACTACTCAAAGGCAAGCAGATATATAACTAGAAGTGGTTTTGGTCTGTGTCTTTATGACCCTCACATCTGGGCTGGGAGGGAGAACAAGAAAGAAAGGAAGAAATGAAAAGATTGACAATCCTGTGAGAAATTATTTAGGTTCAAAATTTGAAGTTTGATCCAATCTGAGGAAGCCCAGAGTGATTCTGAAAACCTCCGTTACGACACAGGGATGGCCATGCTCTCTGGGATCTGGCGAGTTGTGTACTCCCCAGCAGATGCTGTCCATTCACTGGGAAGAAGCGCTTTGTGGACCAGTCCATAGCGCTGATTCATTCATTTCCTGCTGCTGGTGGGAGCAGTGCTTATGTCATTTGGAGCTTTTGCCCCCATCGAGGAGACATTCCTGGGACCAAATTCAGGTCACCCAGCTGCAAGATGAACAAGAAAATAACTTGAAGTTGCATGAATTTTTGAAAGTCTACCATCAAGATGTGCCCCCCAGTCTCTGAGGGAATACTCTACTATCTTCATCACCAAGAAGTGGCCCAGGTAGCTTGGACCTCATGGAGTCATACTGGGCATGTACCAGGCTATATCTTTGGATACCTACCACCCAGAAAGTAGGAGAAGGATATGGCCTCAGAGTGACATGCAATGTACAAGTTGTAAGTCGAAGTTGTTTTTCTTGTTTGTTCTCTTTAGATACTCAAGACAGTAGAGTGTATTTTGACATACTATGCGTACATGGAGTATAACCTAAGATCCAATTCTTGTGATTGTACATGATGTGGAGTTTCGCTAGTCAGGTGTTCATATATGAAGTAGGAAAGTTATGTCTGATTCACTCTACTGTCTTTCCTATTCCCATGCCATCATTCCCTTTTGTCTAATTCACTGAAATACTATTCTTCCCTCCCACTTCCTTTTGTGTGTTACCATCCACATATGAGGACATTTGGTCTTTGGTTTTTAGGGATTGATTTATTTCATTTAGCAAGATAGTCTCCATCTATTTACTGGCAAAAGTCAGTCATCCTCTTTTTATGTCTGAGTAATATTCCATTGTGTATATATACCACATTTTCTTTACCCATTCATCTATTGAAGGGCACCTAGGTTGGTTCCATAGCTTAGCTATTGTGAATTGAGCTGCTTATGAACATTGATGTTACTGTGGTACTGTAGCATGCTGATTTTCTTTGGATATATGCCAAGGAGTGGGATAACTAGGTCAAATGGTGTTTCCATTCCAAGTTTTCTGAGGAATCTCCATATTGCTTTCCAAAGTGGTTGTACCAATTTGCAGTCCCAACAGCAATGTGTGAGTGAACCTTTTTCCCCACATGCTCAACAATATTTATTGTTGGTTGTATTGAAGTGTCTTTCTATCTCATATCCCCAGGGACACTTCATCTATGGGTATCTATGTTGCTGAGAGGCTCTGTACAACCAGTTCTGTTTTAGTGAGAAAACCTCAATTTTCAAACAGGTTGACGAATGAGAACATTTACCATGAATGCTGCATTTGGTGATCTAGGATCTTGAAGAAACTAGGTCAATAATATGCAAAGAAAAGGCCCCTGAAATGTTGTCCTAGCACTGCTCCTAGTTAATGGCCCTTGAAAGTTGAGGACACCATACATGGGGATGGGGAGAAAAATGTATATTTAAAACCACCAATGAGGTTAAGATGGTAGTGAAGGGGGTCCCTGTCCTGTTGCTCTGACTTGTGTTCCTGGCCTGCTTCTTGTTATTAGACTTCTCAGAGGTTGTCAGTTCAGGTGACAAAGCCTTGGGATGAATTGGCAAATGGTGGCCAAGAGAACCATCCTGGGCACTGTTCATAGTCCTAAAATTCTGGGCTTGGTGAGAATGAAACAGAAGGCTGGGGACACTTCCGTGAATGCCATTTGTTTCATCCTTTTCAAATAAGATGGATTTTTTTCATTTTACTCAAATTTTATTGCCTTAACATAAATTTAATAGTGCTTGAGAAAAATGCATTTTTCAGCTTATAGAGATAGAAAACTTGTCTCAACATTTTTTAAAAATTTATTTATTTATTTATTTTTTGGTGGTGCTAGGTGGGGATTGAACCCAGGTCTTGTGCATGGGAGGCAAGCACTCTATCCCCAACCCTGAGATAGAAAACTTGTACAAATGTGTTACAAGGTGACTTCATCCATGAAGCCTGTTGAAAGAATTTTGCCTCTGGTCCCAAACTGACAGTTTGTCAAGGAGAGAGTGAGATGGAAGGGTGGCAAGAAGCAACATGGACAACAGGCCCTGCTCAGTCACCTGCTCACCATCAGCACCTCACAATAGTACCTTAGCATAAAGAAGCCCTGTGTCTCCTACAGACCTGGACATACCCGGGAGCATGCCTGACCTTAGTTGTTTTTTGTTGCCTGAGCACCCTGGTCATACTTCTCACTTGCAGCAATGTGCTTGCAGATGCTACCCATGAGGAATTTGAGGCTGGATTTTATCACTCTGTGACCCCAGTGACGAGCATACTTTTTCTTGCAAAGGAGATAGAAATATGTGTAAGGTTAGAAAGCAATTTGTGTTGTTAAAACACTTATGGAACTCTCTATTCCCGTGGTCTTCTTAGATCCTTTGAATTTAATTCTCACGATGATCCCCTGTAGGATCCAAGCATCACTATCATCCATATTTAACAGAGGAGACAAAAGGATAGGTGCCTTGGCAGGACAAGTGGGTGGGTTAAGCCCAAGTCTTTGGTCCTTGACTCTCAATTTTTATTGAGGTAAATACAAAAATTAAAAGAGTTGAAAAGGAGATAATTTCAAAGTCTCCCTCCAGGTCTAAGCCAGCTAAGCTGTGTGCCGTTGTTCTAATAAGGACTAATCGGCTTCCTAATTCATATTGCTTTACTTCAGTTTCTTAAATAGCTCCACAAGGCACCTTTACCAGGTAAGAGTTTCTTGTCATCTGTCCCCTAAAAGCATCTTAATGTGATTGTGTGCCATGAGTTTCAACTATGCGCTTAAAATGTACAGATCTGATTGGAAGAAAAATGTGGGTGCTTTTTATTTATTACCAAGAAAATTATTTTGGACACCTAATTAGCAAAAGAAGTTTAAACAATGATTATGTATAATCAATCTTAGCACTATACAGTTTTTGAAATTCGTTCATCCCAAAGTGGGAGCCAAGAGATGGGGTACACTTGCAGGCTTAGTCTCATCCTTTCCTGAATAGCCCATTATATCCATGCACATATTTATCATATATTTCTGCTTTCTGGGAAAATCTCTGACCCTCCCTCTCCAGTTGATTCTGTGTTCATCTTGGATTTTCCTTCATCAATACCCAACAGGCCTCTGGATGCCAGTCTTTGATATTGAACACTGCACAGGACTTAGTGCCTGAACTGTAAGTTTCATTCTGTTGATTTCCACAGAACATTCCAGCCTGAAGAGGTAATTTTGAATTTCATTCAGTCATTGATGTTAGCCGTTGTGCCATCCAGCATTCAGTCATGTGTATATTTTAATATACATGGAAGAGTGACTTGGCCAAGAGTGGATGATGATGACTGTTTGGGGAGTGGAAGGTACAGACCAGTCCCGTGTGCCCCAAAAGCAGAGGTCGGCCAGCTTTCTCTGTCTGGTGCCAGATAGTAAACACACTGAGCTTTGCAGGTCGGACAGGCTCTGTTGCAACTATTCCACTGAATTGTGCCTGTGTGGCACAAGATCAGCCATCAACAACAGGTTGGCAAATGAACACGGAGGCATTCCAATGAAATTTTATTTATGACATTGAGGTTTGAATTTAACATGTCGTGAAATATTAGGCTTCACCCTCCCAACCATTAAAAATGTAAAAAATCATTCTCGGTGCACAGGTCATCCAAAATGGGTAGTGGGCCAAATATGGCACCAGTGTCTTAGTTTGCCAGTCCCTGTCCTAAGGGGCCAGCTTTTTTGAGGGAGGCTAGAGGAGGAAAATGGCCTGGAATTGGCCAAGGGGAGTGTGTGGGGTAAGAGAAACTCATTGTGCCATGTGAGAACTGTGCTCTTAGGTTTGGAGTTACAGCAAGGAAGTTAAGGGCTCAGTAAAGAGATCAACACTACAGGGAGTCTTGAGGGACAAAGTAGGAAATTGAGGAAGTTAGAGAAGGGCAGGAGATAAGTCAGACTGGGGAGCAAGAGGCTGGTGGTAAGTCCAGGGAAGGGTGGAGAGTTGGGGAGGTTAATGCAAGCTGATATTACCTCCAGTGGTCCGTTAAGGCAGTGGTTCTCAACCAGGGTGATTTTTGCCCTTCAGGACACCTGGACCCATATTTAGTTGTCATACCTGGAGTGTGGTGGGTAGGGGTGCTACTGGTGGGTAGAGTCCAGGAATGCAGTTTTGGTAAAAATGTCCCCTTGCCAAACAAAGAATATATCTGTTCTAAAGTGTCAAGAGTACTGAGTCAGATAATTGGTTAATAGTTGTACCTCCTCCTTGGGGCGATGCCCATGTAGGGAATGTCTTGGC